GATTTACATCTAATTTACTCATTTCCTACAGCATCTCTCCTGCTTACCACACTAAAAGGTGAATCAAAAAATATAAATGCATGGAATTCTAGAAAGGCAGAATAGAGCAAATGGCAGGCCAAGGTCAGGATGACATCCAGGTCCAAAAGGTTGGAATCAGAATTGGAAATCTCTCTCCCTTCCAACTTTTTTCCCAAAAAGAATAATCAGGATGGTCCCAAATAACTTCTCACTTTTTTAAAAATAAAAACTATCATATGCTTATGCAATTGCCAACTTGAAATTATCAACTTTCTTTCAGTATAGGAATGAGACATGGTATATATCACCATTTCTCTCAACATTCTGCAGAGATGAGTCTGACGCATTTCTGGCTCAGGAGCCCTGGCCAAGGGAATGTAGCCACTACTAACATCATCCAACTGTGTAGACAATATATTAAAAATCCATTTCACCAACAGATGGGCAAGCCTTTAGCACATAAGGTAAAATGGTCTGTTTTCAAGATTACATCCTTTTTATCTTACCAAGGGCCACTTTAGATCAGTCTTCCCATCTTGTCCCTCTGCTGCTCATGGAGGACATGTAGAAACATCCAGAGGGACATTCAGAGGGCTGATAAACATCTATCTATAGAACTAGGCCAAGGACTCAATATATATTCTCCTGCCTCACACCCAGCCTTGACTGATGTGACAGTCGGATAGAGAATGCACAATGAGTAGAAAAAGAAAAAGAGAAGGCTTAGAAAGCCCCTAGCTAACTTTTTTTTTTTTTAGGATTATTACAAATGCTCAAGATTGCTTGCCAAAACATTTGGCAAATAAATAAAGTAGAAAGTTAACCTGAGTTTTCCAGAGGTCTATGAAAGATAATCCAAACATACAGTGAATATTTAATTTAAGTTTATTTCCATCAAAGACATATTTCCATGATTCCCCTTCAGAATACTTCCACTTGCTTTTAACAAACATATCCCATTGTTCTTTTCACTTTCTGAAGCAGTTCTGAAAGTCTTTTTTAATGACTGTCTGTAGTTGCACTGCTGTAGCTGCTTTGATGTCTCAAATCGATTCAAAACTTTTAACTTTCACAATCATTTTGACTTTAGGGAAAAGCTAGAAGTCAGACAGTGCCAGACCCTAAGAATAAGGTGGATGAGGACACACTGTAATACTTTTATTTGACAAAAAATTGTCAATGTTTGAATTGATTCAAGACATTCAGGAAGCCACAAAAAGTCACAAAAGAGGAATTCCACAGCTGCCTTAGAAAGTGGCAAGCATTGTCTATGGGTACACTACCCTGAATGCACCTGATCTCTTCTGATCTCAGAAGCTAAGCAGGGTCAGGCCTGGTTAGTAGTTGGATGGGAGAAGGTGGCCAGCACAATGCAGAAAATGTGTTCAAAGTGAGGGCAAGTATTTTAAGGGCAATTAATGGCAATATGTTTTTTACTGTAATAATTTTTTTAAAACATTTAAACATTTACAGCAACTTTTTGGCAAACCTCATAAATATTGGAAGAAGGCTCCTGCAAAGAGTGATGGACTTAACATGTCCTCAGTACTAGTAGTCTCAGAATCTACTTCAGTTAGTTGTCCTCATCTCCAGGATGAATGGTTGCTGAAGCAGAGTATCAGTTGTGACCAATGCCATGAGTAATCTAATAATGATTAATTATCTTAACAAAAAGAAATCTCATTCTAAATAATCACTACATTAGATTTTTAACAGGAACGTGATCATGTAGCAGTTCATATGATAGAATGTTAAAAATTAAAGTAAATCTTAATTTCCTGTCTCAATGCAAAGGCTATATCCATGACATCAAATTTCTTCTTTCTTTCAATTAAGTTCTGCTGTAACAATGGATTTCTAAAAGAATTTGCCACTTTCAGATCAAAGTGTGCCTAAGTGTGTCAGTTTCTTAGAGAAGCACAGTCATGCAGATAAGCAATCCTCTTAGCCTACTCCTTGCATCTCTGCATTTTCACAAAACAGTATAAAATGATAGTTCCTTTGATTACACAGGTTGAAACATGAGAAAATAGTGTGATAACAAATGTACATTTAGTCTCAGTAAATACTGTGTCAACAGAAAACCAAAAGCAAAAGATACACTGATAAACGGTGACCCAGATTGAAGTCCAATAGGATCCAGTTAAATTCATATTCTATGGCCAACCAGCTGTGAGATCTTAGGCCAAATAATTTCATTTTCCCTAATCATAGTTGTATTTTCTGTTAAAAAATAGAGAAGATAATTGCATACGACCTATCTCAATGTTGCTTAAAGGATAAAATAATGTAAAATGGGTATAAATGCTGTCATAATTAAAAGAACTCTAAAACTTAGCTATTAACTGTTACACTAAAACACTAATAATGTGTCTGCTCAAGCTGCTCCCAGATCCATCCTTTCAGTTGCTTATTTAAACTGAACACTTAACTGCTCTCTTTCCTTCTTTCCTTTTCAATGCCTTTATAATGCTCATTTCATATAGTTTGAAATAAACATCATATGTATTCAGAATCAGAACATTTCATACAACTGCACTACTGCCCGGTTCAAGATATGGAACACTCTTGTCTGGATTTTAGCCACAGCTTCTCAGAGACTTTTTGTTTCTCACTTTGGTTCCCCTCCCCTTAACCACTGGGTATTTTGAAAACAATCACCAGAATGATTCTCTCAAAATATAAATCCAATCATGTGATACATTTGCTCAAAACTTTTCTAGGACCTTTTCTGACAGTAAAGCCAAAATTTTTCTGATTGCCTTCAAGATCCTTTTAATTTCTTTAAGGCTGTCTTGCTGGTGAATAAGAATGTGAATGTAAACACACTTAAGACTATCTGAAAAATAATGAGCCAATTCAACTCCATAGTCATCCTTTCACAAAGGTTGGACCAATCCCAAAGCAGTTTCCATTTACTACTGTTTCCTGTTTCTTTACAAGATGTGGCTTTGGACCAGGCTCTCCAACTTTTAAAAAAGCAACCTTTCAATATAGGGAGTACTTGCAACCAAGTGGCATCCTCCAATGCCTAGGGGAAATAACCTCACAGTCAAGTCAAGGGAGAGGAGAGAGTTGACTTCTGATCTATGCTCAAAAGTGATCATTGTACAATCTTAGAATTCTATTTCTATGTACATAGTGGTCCTCTCACCTGGACTGCTATTTCCTATTTGTCATTTGTCAAAATTTACAGTATTTAAGGGTGATTTACATACAATTTGCCTTCCTAGATCCTCCAATCAATAGTGATTATTCCTTTTCATCATCTTAACCTGTGCTATGTGTCTGCTAAGTACTGATAGATTATTACTTCGTTGAAGTTACAATTAGCAACTGTAGCTCAATATAACATTAATTCTCTTAGCAAGAAGAAGTAAGTGTTTCAGATTTTTAGAGATTGAAGTGGGAAGGGTGAGAGCTGCACTTTCCTGCAGGGCAAAATGTCCTTTCCAAGAGATCTTTCCCCCTACTTCTCACTTTCATGGAGAACTGTGCTAGAATATTGAAAGTCATAGTCTAAACCAGTGATTTCCAAAAGTAGATCAAGGACAGTAAGTAGAACAGAATCATCTGGGAGAACTTTCAAATATATGGTTTGTTACACTGTGTCTGGAAGTCCCCAGAAATTCACATTAAGTACATCTGGACCAGTGTGTAGGTATAAGATGTAGCATGAAATGAGTATCAAATTTTATAATTTTATAATAGGTTAATTTTAATGATTTTTAAGAGAAGACAGGAGCTTAAATAATGAAAGAAAGAAATAAAAAGGAAAGGAAGATGTAGAAACTACAACACTAAAGCTAACATAGGATATGATAGGAGATGACCTAGCTAAAGAACGCAATTTTCCAATATAACATAATTTTGTTTTCTTTGCTTTTCCATTATATTCACTAAGAACTTTCAAAATTTCATTTAAGCTTAAGTCACCCCCAAGGAATAAATATGTGGGCTAAACATTAGAGTGCTTTTTCCTTTAGAAATCCTATTTCGCAGCATAACTTTGTAAACTGACATTACAGTAACTGCAGCTTAATCTCTGTGCTTGTTTACTGTTTGTTCTAGAAGACACATCTATTATCGTTATATCAACAAAATCAGATTTTTGCACCTGCAAGTCTCCAAGCCCTGAGAACAACAAGCAGAGAATGTCCTCACAAAGACTCATATATTAGTAGATGGTAAACATCTGACTACATTTTACTCATTAATACACGAAAAATGAAAAATAGGGGAGGTCTGGAGACCTTAATATAGGCCTTGAGTCTGACTTGCATTGTATTATTGGCTAATAGTGGGTAGCATTTCTGTGATTATATGTCACAGGACTGTACTTGACAACATACACACATCATCCCATTTAATTATCTTAGCAACCTTGCAAAAGGGATCCAATATGTGGCAGATATTCCTAAATCTCTATACAAGAGCAATGCTTTCCTTCATCCTTAGAAAGATAGCCCCAATTTTATTAAAAGTTCTTTATACACAGAATGAATACAAGATAATTCAGCTCTAGTGCCCACTTTGAACTCCAGGGTGATTTTTTTCTCTTTTTATTACAGGAAGTGAATCAAGAATCTTCCCACTGAGCTACATGCACAGCTTTTTTAAAAATTATGTTTTATTTTGATACAGGGTCTCATCAATTGATAACATCCTCCTTCCTCAGTTTCCCAGAATGCTGGGATAACAGGCTTTGTACCCTCACATCTGGTTTCTAGAGTGATTTTTTAAGGATGAAAGATGCTTGGTAAGAATATAGAATAGAAGTAGCCTAGATGCTTGTTGATACCAGATTCAATCACATCTTTCCTGGTTTCTGTCTCTATAATTATTTCATTCAAGAAAGAAATATGACAACATGATTTGAGGCTGTCTTTATATGGTACCAAACATAAACTGAACTGCCAAAGAATTGCATTTTCATTTTGGATTGAGGAAACAAGATACAAGAAGATTATGTAACTTACTTGGGATCACATAGGTAGTAAGTACTGAGCTGAAATTTTTGGACTCCTATATGACTCCAAGGTGAATATTTCTTTTATCTGCCATGTGTCATGAGCTTCACAAAAGATATTTTTTCTTGCTGGGCACAATGGGAAATACCTGCAATCCCAGAAATCTGGAGGAAGGGCAGGAAGATCTCTGTGAGTTTCAGACCAGCCTGAGCTGAATAGCAAAGTTCAAAGTTAGCCTGAACTACATAGTGAGACTGTCTCAAAACATACAAAAAAAGAAAAGAAAAAACAAAAAGATCTCTTGCCTTTATGTTTGGTGCAGAACAGGAAAACCAATACCTACTGACCATTTACACGCAAGGCACTGAGCTCAGTATTATCACATGCATTACTACCATGTTAACTCTCTAAGCTGTCCTTGTGCCTAAAAATTTAGTGAACTAAATAAATCATTTCTTCTGTTTTCATCTCTTTAAACCATTTCCCCCCTATAATCTAGCAGGAAATTCGTGCTAATCTGTAATCCAGGATTGATTGTGGTCTCTTCTTCAAATCAGGACAGCTCCACCAAAGAAAATGATCTCTTCAGCCTTTATCAAAACATTCACCCAGGAGATTGAGACAAGTGAACACCAAACTAGAGCTTGTCTTCTTCTTCCCTTTCAAAGTTGCTCACATCCTATGACAGTAGTATTAGCATCTTAAGATTCATTAGAAACTAGAAGACAGAAAATAAGAGTAAGTAGCTTTCCACACAAGGAAAGAGATTAGAAAAGAAAGGTTCCTTCACAAAGCAGTAACTTCATCTACAATGTTACATTACATAAAGAGAAACACATACACACACACAGAACAAATAATAATTAAACTTAAGAGAGTTCTGAAAACATCATATATCACTCGATATAAATGTAAAATGTAATGACCTAAAAAGAAGAAAAACACAATTATTTAATCTCATAATAAGTAACAATTTTCTAAATATGGAAGCAAGTAAGAGTTAAAGAAAGTAAATCAATAGTTTTGGCTATATGAAAATTTTAAAAAATAATTATTTCTAAGAAATTTGAAACATATTTAAATAATAACATTCAATATTAGAGAAAATATAATTGCTCTGGAAAGAACTTGGGCAGTGACTATCTACGAATTCACAACAAAATATATATTTTTCATATTACTATTTATAAAGCATAACCTTTGATTTTCTTGAAAAACAATCTACTCAGATTAGGAAGACTTATATGCAGTGAATATCTGTTTAAAATATATAGCAGGTATTCAAGAAATAATTCAATAAGTAGATTTATCAGAATAAGAGTAAAATTTCTCAAGAGAAATACCTGTAAGTATTCTAAAATTAAAGCTGAAAAAAAACCCTTGCTCCCAGTTGGCCCCCAACCCCTCAGTATAAACCTGTTTTTCCAGAATGACATAACTTTCCTTTCTCCCCCCACCCTATGTAAAGAAGATGAAATTCCCTGTAACTTTCTTTCTTTCTTTTTTTTTTAAGAGCAAGGACACCACTGAACTATATCCCTTAGGGTAACTTTCTGAGCAACCAATCTCCTGCTTCTGTATTCCCTGCTTGCTTACTAACCCCATAAAACCCCCCGCACATGGGGCTCTCAGGGCCCAACTCTTTGGGAATGATCCCAGTCAAGACCTCTGGGATCAATAAGGCTGTACACTTGCCTCTAAACCCCGGGTGTGGCTCTGTTCTTGGTCTCATTTGGCTGTAGCACTTGCTGAGAGCTTCAGAGCATTTGCAGCTGCAAAATGATTTAGAATGTTAATGTCCTTAAATGATGACTAGGACAAGAATCTCACTCATCCATTCACTGATCCATTCAACAAATCTTTTTTGATTTTCTACCATATATGAGGTACAGTGCTAGGTGCTAAAGACACAATGAGCAGACAACAAATGCAATAATCACCCATCCAGACCACCTAGTCTTGAAAAAAGTAAGCAAAGAAATCAAACTTGCACTAGTAAGAAAACTACAACTAGAGAAATGCATGTCTTAAATAAGTTTAGATGGCTGAGGACATAAAATGGAAACAAGGCAATGATAATCTTTTGTTTTATTTTGAGCCTAGAAGAAACCTTATATTCACAAATGTGAAGGTCTTTGATACTAGGCTAATGAATGAACCCTCCTTATCATGTTTCTGTTGTGCTGCCTTCAAATCTTTGGAAATGTGTGAAAATTTCTGAAATGACCCTCATGAATCACAAGAGTTTATCCTCTGGTCAGTTATTTCTCCCAGGATCGAGTTATCTGGAAATTAAGGCATGAAAAAGCCTATTGCTTTAATTACTACAAAATCAAGAATTGCCTTATTTATAGCTCTTTTCTCTGTACCTAGATACAATGGATGTCTAATACTCGTTTCTTTATTGATTGAACAACTGAGATTACTAGATAAGAAAAGTTAAAATGAGGCTCTTAATAAGTGACATGCAGCCCTGTTTACTTGTCAGAATCACCTCATGGGCTTTTAAAAAAATGAGTCATTGTTCCCTAACCTTCTATATCTATTGAACCAATCTTTATGGATAGAGCCTGAGGAATTCTATGTGTTAAAGACCCCAGTGATTTGAACAAATATCATTAGAAATCCCTATAAAATAGCACCTGAGGACATGTGGAAATTATGACGTATTTCTCTCCATTAAAAAAATGATATTGACATAATAAGGAAATTAATGAGACAATATGACATATGATACTAATAATATAACAAAATAGAAAACAGCAGTTGTATGAATACCTAGAAATGTATAACATACAGAATCTATTAGAAACACTACCTATAGTTCCATTATCAAAAATAAGATCATTACACTGCATGCAATTCAGATCAGCATGCCATGGCTCCCAGCCCAGAGGAGACTACCAGATTGGCGTGCCATGGCTCCCAAGCAGGAGGAGGCTTCTGGGTAGGCATGCCACAGCTCCCAGCACAGAGGAGGTGAGCCCTGCGGGCGCCAGGAACATACACACACACACACACACACACACACACACCCTGCATAAAAATGAGAAGACAGGTAAACAAGCCACAGAACCAGACTTCCAGATCACCTACAGCAACACCAAAGGGAGATGAGATGGAACACTCTGATACTCAACTATCTGGACTCCCTGAACTAGCAACGAAAGAAGATCTGGAAAAAATGAAATCAGAAATAATTTCTCACTTAACAGCAAAGATTGCACCCATAGTCCAAGACATGATTAATAAATCTAGAGAGGATACAGATAAAAAAAATAGAGGAGCCAAGGAACATGATGGACTGACAATATAGGAAACAAAAAGAATCCATAAAACAGATGCAAACAGATTTCCATGAGATAAAAACCTCCATTGAAAGCCTATGCAGCAGAATAAGCCAATGTGAAGACAGAATTTCAGCTATAGAAGATAAGATTGCAATTAGTGACCAGGGAAAGAAAAAATTCTTTAAAATTTTAAGGGACCATGAGAAATCAATCCAGCAGCTTCTAGACGATGCAAAGAAGAATAACGTAAGATTGATTGGAGTCAACGAAGAAACAGGAGAGAGTGCAGATGACATAAAAAACTGTTTACAAAAGTGATGGCAGAAAACTTCCCAAGCAGGTGAAAAGAATTTGAAATACAGATAAGCGAGGCATATAGGACTCCAACTAGCATTGATCAAAAAAAATCTACACATAGACATATAATTAAGATTCCAGAAACCCAACAGAAGAACAAAATTCTGCAAGCAGTTAGAGAAAAGAAACAAATCACATACAAAGGAAATTCCATCAGAATCACAGCAGACTTTCCTTCACAAACCATCAAGGCAAGAAGAACTTGGAGTGATGTATTTCAAGCCCTAAAGGAAAACAACCTCCAACTCAGTTTGATGTACCCTGCAAAAGTAATTTTAAAAGTTGATGGAGAAATAAGTTTCTTTCAAGACAAAGAGTACCTTAGGAACTTCATGAATACCAAACTGGCACTCCAAAAAATTTTAGACAAAATCGTAGGAAAAGATGAGGATCACAACTCCAGGAAGCAAAGCAGAATGAATCCACCAGGCATGACAAGAAATTAAAAGCAAAGGGGGAGGATCAAACAAAAAGAAAAAGTCATGACAATGATAAGTCAATATGTATCAGTTATAACCATCAATGTTAATGGTCTCAACCCACCAATCAAAAGAAATAGACTGGCATAATGGGTCAAGAAGCAAGATCCAACAATATGTTGCATAAAAGAAACACACTTAATTCAAAAACAAACTCAGAGACTGAAAGTGAAAGGGTGGGAAACAATACTCCATGCAACTGGAACCCCCCAAAAAAGCAGAAGTAGCTATCCTCCTTGCAGACCAAGTGGATTTCAAAGCTACACTGAGTAAGAGAGACAAAGAAGGATATTATATCCTTGAAAAGGGAACAATCCAACAGGAAGAGATGACAATCATAAATATCTATGCACCAAACACTAGTGCGCCCAACTATATAAAACAAATATTAATGGGCAAGAAAAATAATATAAGCACTAATACAATAGTAGTGGGGGACTTCAATACCCCATTGTCACAAATAGAGAGATCAACTAGACAAAAAACAAGCAATGAAATACTAGAACTCAATCGAACTCTTGAACATAATGAACTTAACAGATGTTTACAGAGTTTTTCACCCCACAAAATCAGAATACACATTCTTTTCAGCTGCACACGGGTCATTCTCCAAAATAGACCACTTTCTCACTCGTAGAACATATTTAGGTCAGTGCAAAGGAATTGAAGCTATCCCCTGTATATTATCAGACCATAGTACGATGAAACTGGAGATCAACAGCAAAAGAAACTGAAAAACTTCATAAACACATAGAAATTGAACAACAAACTTCTGAGTAAGCAATGGGTCACAGGGGAAATTAAAGAAGAAATCAGACAGTTCCTTCAATTCAATGACAATGACAATACAACATATAGGGATCTATGGGACACAATGAAAGCAGTCTTACAAGGGGAATTCATAGCAGTGAATAATCATATTAGGAAAACAGAGTGAGCCCCATTAAACAATCTGATGCTGAACTTCAACCTTCTAGAATGAGAAGAGCAGGACAAACCTAAAGCTCATACACAGGAGGGAATTATAAACATCAGGGCAGAAATCAATGCAATGGAGACTAAGAAAACAAGACAAAAAATCAATGAAGTCAAGAGATGTTCTTCGAAACAATCAACAAAATTGACAAACCCTTAGCCAACCTTATCAGAAAATGGAAAGAAAAGGCCCAAATCCATGCAATTAGAAATGAAAAGGGTGAAATTACAACAGACCCAGCAGAAATCCAGAGGATCGTCAGTACCTACTTCCACAACCCATATGCCAATAAGATGGACAACACAAAAGAATTGGACAGATTCCTAGATACATATGAATTACCAAAGTTGAATAAAGAAGACCTATAAATTCTAAACAACCCAATATCAATCAATGAAATTGAAAATGTAATTAAAAACTTACCAACCAAGAAAAGCCCGGGTCCTGATGGCTTCACCACTGAATTCTACAAGACATTTAGAGAGGAACTACTGCCACTACTGTTTAAACTTTTCAATGAAATTGAAAGAGAAGCAATACTCCCCAAATCATTCCTGGAAGCAAACATCACCTTGATCCCCAAAGCAGAGAAAGACCAAACTGAATAAGGGAACTATAGGCCAATCTCACTAATAAACATAGATGCAAAAATCCTTAATAAGATACTGCCAAACAGAATGCAGAAGATCATCAAGATCATATACCCTGACAAAGTGGGATTCATCCCAGGGATACAGGGATGGTTCAGCATATGCAAATCAATGTA